TATATTACAGAATTGAATTAGGCCGGTATTCATAGTCAGATCTTATATTTAAGACCGTCTTAAGTTCTGCCTTGAGGTATCATGAACCAATCAGAGAGCCGCATTGGCATCTTAAGACATTACTTAAGACAGTCTTGAAATAAGAATTGATTATGGATACCGGCCTTAGTAACGAAATCTTAATAATTTCGAGTAATTCAATAGCAGATTCATGTGTGTTACTTCAACTATTTCTTTCAAACTCAAAATATAAACTGTTAAGGGAACTATTTATTATAAATCCTATTATAAATGCGTAATTATATGAGGATTTAATATATTCCCTAATTCTGATTTTATATAGTAAAACGGATCAATGATTTAATGTACGAAACAGTATACCTCCTTGTAGTATATACTAGATATATTGTAGATACTTTACACACCAGCCGTTATGAATCCTGTATCGTGAATAATTAAAGAGCCCGAAGCAATACGGTGGTAAGTCCCACAAGGGAAAATCTAGTGAGGCTCATGGCTTATCTCTGTCTACAGTTCGGTTATAATATCTCGCCCAAAATATTCTCACATTCAATTTCAATAATAAAGCAATAAAAAGTATTATGAAATAATATTTAATCACATTAAAATTGAATTTGAATAATTTTTACTGGATCCTTTAATTAAAGAGATAATATGCCAAATTTTATGAATTTTAAATGAAATTTAATATTTCGTCTGTTGCAATTTTGAATTTACTTTTCACTCTCGATCGTTATAGAGAGAAAATGTCTTTCGAGTTAATTATAATATATATTACCTAATCTCTTTCCTTCAAAAAAAAATTAAAAAACACACTTCTTAATACTCTCATATTACAAATTAAATTACGGTATAGTTTTTTTGGCGTAAGTAATTAAGGAAGATAAAGCAACACATTGTTTTTTAATACACGTCAGACACAACGTGACAGATAAAATATATCTCGTATATAACTCTTTTAAGTCCCTCGAGAAAGATGCATTTTCGTTACAAATTCTCAGCAGGATTGCAGCAAACAATCTTTTCACGCCATGTTAGATTTATAAATGTTTGATTCATTTAACTCGTGCTTATATATGCTGTAATGTAAAATGAATCATTTTATTTATTTTAAAATTTCGTCAATATTAATCGATAAATTCGTACTTTAAAATGAAATAACTTTGTTCAAATTTTAATAATGCCCAGATAGCACGTATATTAAAGTTGAGACATAAAACTTTTAGATAATTTTTTTTAATTTGGACCAAGTTATCTCGACCGAGCCAAAGTTATTCTATTTTATGCAAACCGAAAACTGTTAAAAAGAAAAAAACATAAAAAAGGCAAATAGCACTAGCTTGATAAAAAATTAATTATACTAATAGAGTTAATTTTATGAATCATGAAAAAACTTGACTTTTGAATTAGCATAACATACATATATAAAACATTTACGTAATTTCTTCTTAATATATTTAAAGAGAATTAATAAATTATAATTAAAATAATGATAATGATATGATGGTATAAATTATAGTAACATTGTATGTAAAATTGATTCAAATTTTCGTCATAATTTAAATGATAAAATGTAATTGATTCACAACGCAACGAAACTCAGCATCGAGCTGATATTAAATATTAAAAAGTGACTCATTCGACCTTAATATTCATGACGGAAACGTTTATAACCCGATTTTCATCGCTCGATTTTAATACACATTGCGTATTCAAACACAAGCGTGAAAGTGGGAAATCATTTTCCATGACTCATTACACGAGAAATTGCATGTCGCGAATATCACCGCGAAAAGAAGAACTCGTTTTTCTTTCGAGGACTCTATGATTCTAGAAACGCAATAAAAGCAAATACGAGCAGAGAAAAAAATTAAGTAAAATGTTCAGTGACACTTTTCTCGTAGCTGGAGACAAACTTTAATAAGTACTGTTTTTCATTCTTATGAAAACAAGTCGCGGGCTTTCGAGCGGCAAGATAGTGCCATCTTCTCTCGTTTGTTTTTCCGTGATAAAAAGCGAAAGCCTCGCAAATCAAGTGACTTACGGAAACGGGAAAACTGTGGTTTTGTATCCGAAACTGATGAAATTTATACTTCAGGCTTACAACGGAATACAAAGTAATTTTGTTTAAAATATTTGAAAAAAAAATTTTAAACGTCGTATATCTTATATAGATTGAGAAAAGAAAAGTTTTTTTAACAAGTTGCACATGCTTTTCTAAAACAATTAGTATAAAAGCAATATGAAAATCATTAGGAATTAAATTGATGCAATAGACTGAATTATTCCGAAAAAAAGTAAATAAATAAACGATAGACGATACCTAGATGCAGAAAAAATATTATGAACACCCACATATCTTCTCGTTAAATGCAATCGCCATAATGCACCCGTTCCGGAAGTAAATTAAGGTTCAACGTGCGCTATGCGTGCATTCATTCATGGAAAACCATCTGCTGCAATTTGCATTATAGTCATCTAATTTATAATACGCTATGTCATTACATCAAGTCCACTGCTGAATAACGATTATTCATTATTATACAAAACATTTCGCAGAATGAAAATTGGCGAGATGTGTATTCTCCTTTCAAATTTTAAATTCGTTCTACAAAAAGCTCAATCAACAATTTAATTATGATGTTATTTAAATGAAAATCAAAGAGCCGACAAATAATGTTTCAAGACGTTTCTAACGTAAATAAGAAACGGAAATTTGTTTAACGATTAACTTAAATTTTCAACTTTGCTCAAAGAGAAATTTTAGATTACATAATAATTTGAAGTTTACTTTATAAATTTCATTTCACGAGAAATAATTTCGAGCTATTAATACACAATACATAGAGAAAAAATTTGTAATAGTCTCATTAAATAGGCACGTGTAATTTGCTTTTTTTATAAAGATAATATTCATTGGAAATATTTTTGCAACAATAAATTAAATACAACAAAAAAAGAAATATACCAAATGCTTTTTAAACGCAGGAATATTTGATGGATTTAGAACCTCATGGGTATTTATCTATCAATAGCTATAGTGTTTTGCAATGCATGATGCACTGTATGCCCCCGTGTTCGTTTTGCTCGCTTACTAATGCGCGCCTCCATTCACTATGCATGTTCATTTCACAAAGCGAGTCAATCGTTTCGCGGAAACGCTAGCTTCGGCAAAACGCCAGCAATAAATTCTATCTAATGTACTCGTAATTAAATTCATTCGCAATATATTTAAATTCACTCACTGTAAAGAAATGATCATTTGCCAAGTACCGTGCTACCTGCTAAGAATCATTATACAACAAACTTCTTTGAACGCATGATTACCTTGAGCGAAGGAATGGACATCTTAATGTGAAAAGAATCCAATATCAGTGTATCTTTTGTTCTCAGAATTACAGATACCGTAATACCAAATATATTTTAAATCCTAGTAAGTTTAATACAATACTTCAAGATTGTTATATTAAAACGAATTCGATTTGCTTATATAAATGTCGCTTCTTCGATAAAATTTTATAATATGTTTCAAAAGAAAATTAATTCTTCAAGTTTGTCTAAAATTTGTAGTAAGTGTATTTTAAGATTATTATCAAGAAAATGTGTTTGTTAAATATAACCGTTACTTAAATGAAAAAAAGTAAACCGAGTAATCACTTTTTCTGTTGTTAGTAGTAGAACAATATTTTTCTGTATGCACGATAAATGCATACATAAACTTACATGCGGATTAAACTGTCGGATCTAAAGAACTCTGGATAATAATAAGTTTTTTCTAGGAGATAAGCTTGACTTTCGGGGGTGATGATACATTACAGCGCAGTTTCTGAAATTAATGTAACGGGAAATGTGAGGTAAGTGAAAAAAAAAGCTTGCCTGTTGCTGAAATGGACAAATATACGAATGCAGTACAAGGAGTTATATATATATATCGAAAGTAATAGTACAATAGTAGCTAGTCATTCTGCGCTCTCAACATTTGCGTGACAAACGTACGCGACAATATTGTGTGTTCAAGTCGACAATACTGATCACCACAATGAATCAACTCCCCTGATGGTGTTAGGTAAAATGTATTCACGTATAATAACATTTTCGCGGATGTATTTGCAAGTGTAGTGCTACGTACATTTTATACATGTACGCTGATATACAAATACATATTTAGTTCGTCGACTTTGAATATGCATTTTCGTCGATACATTTTGTTCGATATTTGCCCAATTTTAACAATAAGACAGCGTGTTTTGTTAATATAACTACTCGAAAAACAAACTATTACGTTTCCATCCTCAAACACATTATAATTCACTTGTCAGCCTTTTCTACCTTTAAAAAAATGTATTTTCTTTTATAATACTTTTTTTTTTTTTTTTTTTTTTCGAATCGAATCCTAATTTTTCTAATCAATAAAATTCGAGAAGTTACTCCTTTCGAAATTTCGTTTTGAATTTCAATGCGGAAACGCGTACTTCGTACTGGAGACCTCATAACAAAGTTTTTATAATATACGCTATCTCATTCTAACTTACTAAAGTTGACAAAAACGACAGGCTAATCAAAAGTTTGTCATCTCGTAGCTAAACTTTGTATAAGGATTGTCACAAATTCTTTATCCTAAAATTTCATAATTTTCTCTGATGCTTTCAATAATATTTTAAAAGTTTTTGCAGTTTTATCCTGATTTAAAAACCGTTAAATATTTTGTTGAGAGATCAATTTACACAGCAATGTAAATTACTATTAATGTTGCTGACACTGCTTGCATTTTTAATTGTTAAGTTGGTTGTACTTCGAAACTGCGTAGGTGTGATCTACGCATATTAAACTTCTTTAAAGTCAAGAATTTTAATTTGTTTTGCATAATTCCTTGACTTCCAGTTTCCTTGACTTTTCCCTGATTTCCAGTTTTGTGGCAATCTCGTCTGTTACAGGATCTCTACTTCACATAAAACGGAGAAGAAATCGAGGCGATTTACCTTTCTCGAACGCCTCCAGCGACGAATCGTCCTTCCGATGGGCGTCCACTTGCAACTTCCTCTCGCGCAGCAGTGCAGTGCAGCGTGTAGTTATACCGGTGCAGTCGGTCCGTGATAAACAAAAACACAAACTCACGGCTAGTCCGATCTCGTTCTCTCCAAGAGGTGGCGTGTCTCTTTCGCGCGCGGCGGTATCAATCGCCCGCTGATTCTCCTTTTTCTTGCATTCGCTCGCGAGAAGATACGCGGCGCGAAGCGAGCGAGACTGCGGCCGCAAAGTGCGAGAGAGGAAGAGGCAAGGCAGACCGCAGAAGTGGCGGATGGAAAAAGCGCGTGCGAGAGCACGCGAGAAAAGAAGAGAGACGAGGAATGGTATAGCCGAGAAAGAGGAGGCGAGAGGGGAGGGGAATGAGCAAAAAAAAGAGGCAAGTGATACTACGCGAGGAGGGACAGTGATAAAGAGCGAGCGAGAGAGTTTCCTGGGGCGACAGCCGTGCGTCCAATCGGCGCCAATAATCGATCTGCTCGCTGTCGATTTCGCGACGGTGCCTCGCGATATGCGTTGCCGTCGACGTGTCGGGTCACATCGTCACATTTCTGCCGCCGCGTCGCGTGGCGCGAAAAACGGAGCGCTCCGAAAATGATCCTTGAAGGACGTGGTGCGCGAGCGCGAACGCGCGTCACAACGGTTGCAATCGTCCTCCTCCTCCTTCCTCCTCTTTCTCCTCGTCCGCCGGTATGTTCCTGCTCAGGATCCGATCGAGCAGACACTGACCCCACGAGACGACGTCGGTGCGAAGAAGAGAGAAGGAGAGAGCAAAAAAGACGGGGAGAGGGAGAAGAAGTACGAGGAGGAACGAGGAGTAGAGGCACGAGGGAGAAACGGGATAGAAGTCGAGAGAGAGAAAAAGAGAGAGAGAGAGAGAGAGAGGAAACGATAAATAATGCAGCAGGAAAGACGGAGAAAAGGACGGAGGGAGCAAGAAAGTACGTACGCGGTTTGTTCGAGTCTTCACTTTCGTCGCGACATTTTTCCCTTTCGAACACCCGCGGCTTTTAAAAACTGCCAGTCACGGAAACCGAAGAGAAGGAAGATGGAACGTCTTTCCGCTTATCGTTGCGCGCACTTGGTTTTTCAAATTTCATGCATGTCCAGACACGCGAAAGTAATGCGCAACGTTATCATTCGATATACGCATATCGAGGAAGAGAGAGAGAGAGAAAGAGAGAAAGAGAAAGAGAGAGAGAGAGAAAGAAAAACGCTGATCGTCGTCGGCAGCGGCGACGATGCGCGATGACGGCGCGCTCGCGGAAAGTAAACGTGACAACTCGTATCGCGCGCGCCTGCTTAACATATACTGAATACGTTTCGTCCGGAGCGCTCCGCTATACTGGAGCTCGGCGCTCGGCTGCCTTCGGCCGTTCTCGACGATCTTCGGCCGCGCAGACGACCGCGACCGAACCGACCAACCGACGCATCGCCCGGCTGACGAGACCCGCGCTGTCACTCGATCGCTGACCGTGCATCGTGCGGGTCGACATACGACGCTCCTTTGCCCCCATTCCACTCGCTCAGATTTACCTCGCTGCCTGTCAAAACATCACGCGCTTTTTCGGGAAAAGTTCGTATTTGAATAACGATAATATATGGAGGGTGTGAGCGATAATGGTGTAATTTTAAACCTATCCATTTAAAGTCATTGATGCAGTCTACATAAAGAAAAATATCATTTTGTTGCGAAGAAAAATGATTACTCAACTTTTTTCTGTTAAATAACGGTTATCTTTAATAAAGAATATTTTCTTAATAATAATCTTAAAACATACTTATTACAAATTTTAAAAAAACAAATGATGTACATATTTAAAACAAAAAATTATTTTAAGGATAAATACGACTGCATAAATGCCATACATAAATATAAAGAAATTATAATCGGTCAAAGTTAGATGTTATGAATATAATACATATTCCTAACTTTAAATTTAATTATCTCAGATATAATTGTGCGCCGGAACGTTCGGACATTAACCCATTAAAAAAATTTATTTTCTTTTGAAGAATATTATAAAATTGATCCAGAGAAGAAGCGACTTTATATAATAAGCAAATTGAATTTGTTTTTTTAATTTAATAGATGAACTTACGATAGATTTGCGAATATATGAACTGTTAAAATACTTGAAGCAAGAGTTTATTATTTGTGTACAATATGTATTCTTCTCTGTACTGAAGCAAATATGTTGAAATAACAATCTACATAATATTGAATTTTTTATAGATAAATTAATTTTTCATAATTAATCTTTCTTTATTTTAAAAACAAAATGTTTACTTTCAAGTTTAATTAATAATTTTAAAATATTAATATGCTCTTTTCTGCATTATAGAATTTAATGCATTTTCTTAATTATAAATGTATTTTGTGATTAATAAACAAAAAAAACTGATATAAGAAATTAATTCTCCAAGACTATCCTTACACGAGAATAAGATTTGTCTGAAAGTTTATAACTTTCAAAAATTATTTATAACTCGTAATGATTTAGTAGTGATAAATTTACTCAAAGTAGTGATAAATTTTAGTGATTAATTTGTTAATTAACAAAAACATTCAAAAATATCCTCATGTATGTTTACTTCAAAGCTGTATAAGTGTTGCTCTTAGTTAAAATGATTTAAATTTTACTTTGTCGTTACATCCTCTCGAATAATTTATCGAATGAAATTAATTCTCGCTGTTTATTTTTGTGAAAGATCAAAACACTAGCAGGAAAAATACTTATCATAAAAAAATATTCGTATAAAATACAATCATTGTAACAACATACATCGGTACACACAATATATATTGTTACACAAGTCGGATATACGCGATACATTGTGATACATTAACCGTGCGTTATTAATCGTCGTTACTAGACACGGTGCGACAGTTTAAATCAGTTTCCACCTCATTTGAAAATACATTAAAACAACAGAACCGTGTCCTGCAGCATCATTAGTTTGACAATCGTTCACTTGGAGAAACTGTAAACTCGCTTAAAGCGTGAACTCGTTAAAGTTTGAAACACTAAATTGTTTTACAAATACATAGAATCGTAAATCATTTTAACATACAATATGATTTTATGACCTTATTCGGAATGATATTAATTTCTCGTTTAAAATAATTTAATATTAAACACGATTTTATTATTCAAGATTTGTAGTAATTTAAATACGATTTTATAATTTTATTATTCAAGAGAGAATCTTTAATCATCAATCGATCGTGTGTCAGCCGCGCATATTTTAAATATTGTCAAATTTTTTATCTTTGTAAGTTTCTCGCCTCATCAGCACAATTTTATTGATGTTAGTGATACGTTAATATGATATTCCTCTATCACTATATGCATAAAAGCAACTCCGGCACATCGAGGCATTGTAAAGCATTGCATATGCGTTCGCGTGTATACATTATGCAAATTGATTCCATCGATTGGCCACCAGACTCACTGCGCGAAATATAGACTTGTTGCACGTTTCAAAAGCTCTATCCTGGTCTCTAGAACATGCTCTCCCTGTAACTCGCATTTACCACGCAATCTCAAGAAAATCATATTAAGAAAAAACAAATATGTTAACAAGTCTTACAGCAGCGTCTATTATGATACTTTACAAGCGTTTCTAGAACGTATTTAATTTGCATTTCAATTCGAATTGTAAAAACGAAAGAATACAGCGAAAAAAAACGTACTAAATTTTAATAAATATTTGTTCGAAATAATGACATTTACTTAGGGAAAAGAAATATTTACTGAATAAAAAAATTATATTTAAAAAAAAAAATCAAATTAATGGTTTTTATATCAAATAAATATATGTTTATATTTAACAAATATTAGCTAGTATTATTCAAATAAATATTTATTAAAATCTAGTACATATCTTTCTCGATGTACCTACCTACTTGAACGTAAAAATTGAAATTGTACTTTTATTTTATTATAAAAGTTAAAAGTAATAATTATAAGAAATTGGAAAGAATAAGGACAATAGGAGTCAGGCGCAGAAGACGTCGCGCAAATAATACACTCATATATATAAAGCGTAAAACTTCTTTATTCTACTAAACGCGCTTACATGTTTCGGCTCACTTTTGAGCCTTCTTCAGAGACAACATAAACTAACATATATAAACTGTGAATAAAAGTTATCTTGCCATGGTGAGCTCCCCTACATCGAGAATTTAAATGCCAGAAATTAAACCCAAATAAGAAAGAAAAAAAAAGAAAAAAGAAAGGAAATATTGGAAATATCGAAATAGAGAATATGGAAAACTAATTTACCAAAAAACTTTAAGATTATAATTAATTCTCTCGAAAATAAAGACGCTCACAGTGATCACAAAGCACCATATCGCAAACAATACTATTATAATAATTAAAAAACCGGTTCTTGATATGTTGGCCAGTCAGTATCAGATACAGTGAATCACTTTTAGATTTAGCTAGTATTTTTCAAGATTACAAATGGGAAAATCTAACATTAAAAGGTTAATCAATTCCAAGAAAATAAAAGTTGGAAAGTAATCAAAAATCACGCCAGAAAGACTCATTACTGTGTACGAGCGATACTGACTGACTAATAAGTGAGTAATAATTATATTAAAAATCTCAAATTTTAAACGTTCAAAATAAAGAAGATTCCACACACACACACACACACACAATGAAAATTAATTAAATAATTCATTTCTATAATAAAAGAATCGTTAAAACTTCCTGGCGTTATTTACGCCATTAGTGTGTCTTATTTTCCTATGATGTGTCCGTCATGAATACAAACGCGTGCTATTTCAATTTGATCGATTCATCCCGTTTTGATAGCATTTCTCCGAACATTTCAATTCTGTTATCGATTGCTAGTCGCGCGCAATTCACCACGCGCAATTCGCTAAACGAACGGCATTTTCTCCGAGTTTACAGACGATTAAGAACTGTCGTAATTATTTTAAGAGGCTTCTTCGTGGGAGCGGTGCTCTTGCCGATTGCTATGTGTCGCTAACGACGGCGCCACTCTTCTCGCTACTAATGTGAGAGTCATTATGCCTAGAATGTGAGCACTTTTCACGAGATTATCTAATGCACTTTTATTTGACTTGAAATATTTACACATAAACGAAATGAAGACGAATGACTCGTCTTAGTAAAAAAAAATCATTTGATAGAAGCTACGAATTATAAAATGAGATGTCACTAATCAAACAATGATATTTGTCTTTTGATATCTTTTCATTTTTCTTGCATCCAATAGACACAAATGCGCAAAATAGTTTAAAATAAGGTGAAAATCAGCAGCAAGAATAAATTTTTCAATTTAGTTTAGAATCGATTTTTTTCTTGAATCGAAAATTTTATCAAAGATAACAATTTATCACGTTTTAATTTCTATCATTAAATACTTCGGCTTTTATCTTCGATTTTTAAATATAATGAATAAAAAAAGATGGAATGTTAATTAATATATCTTTGATTTTCCCACGTTAGTTTATTACGTTTTGAATTTAGTATTAAAATAAAATTATATTGATTATAACTCTTTTATCAAGTGAATTTTAAATATCGAAGAGATGGCACGTGTTAATGCAACAAGGAAAGGAACAAAGCCGATGACGCAGATCTTTTTGTACTGCTTTCATTTTTATAGGCACTAAAAGGACGTATATATTTTATTCCATCATAAAGTCTCCTAAATATGCTGTGCAAGCGCGAGGGATAAGTTTCCCGTGAAAAGTCAGAGGAAAAAAAAGATTAACGAGAAAAGTGAGCAAGAAGACTAACCATGTTTAAATGCTAAAGGCATAGCGAAGAGTAGCTATTACGATTCGCAGTAAATGATAGGTAGAACGACATTATCGATCCTTATCGCGAGCTCGACTTTACTAAAGAGAGCAGCAAACCGAGCGGGTTTTGCTCTGCTACCGGTTACCCAAGAATCCTACAGGATGATAATGAGAGCCCACTATCTCATGCCAAGCTAACCATAATTAGCTCGTTGGTAATACATGGTTGTCGTCGGTGCGATTAGTGCCGTCTTCTTTCACGAGTCGTCTTGTCGTATCGCAAATTGCCGGAATTGGGTAACTGAATACGAGTTCTCTGATTACAAGCGAGTTTTTAGCAATCTTTCTAAACTTACATCAACATAGATTTTTCGTACATATATATATTATATATTATATAAATATATATATACATATATATGAATTAATAAATTCCATCGTAATTATTAACAGAAATTTTTCGCGCAAGTTTGAATGAGATTTTAAAAAATGATGATTCTGTATTAGGATTAACACAACTTATGACAAATTTTATTTAATTTACGGAATACCGCCTTTTTCAAATTATGATACGAATCGGCAATTGTGATTTAATTAATCGTAATAATTGGATATCGCAGGATTTTAATAGAATTTAATTATAATGAATATTGGTAAAATGCGTTAAAATAACAATTAATGAAATCTTGCCGATGCCTACAGCAATATATGAATAAATTAAT